TTGGCCGTGGATGGTGAGGTCGAGGTAGGCATCTTAGAGACGGTGGCCAAATCTTTCGTCATATCTGTCAAGGATCCGGTACAAACTCCGATCGGAGGAGCTCCTGCAACTGATTCAGGAAACAAGGTACAAACTCCGACTGGTGAATTTGGAGCTTCTATAACGGTGGAGGCGGAGCTTATGAATCTCTGGTCCATAAATTTCAGAATTGATTTTTCGAAATCGGGATGATTGTTGTAATCTGAAGGAGATGGGTCTGTGATTGTCGAAGGATCCAGCACCGAGAGTGCCGACGCCGGAGGAACGGTCGGTGACATAGCTAGGTGAAGAAGACGATCGATTGTAGAGAGAAGAATGTAGAGAGAGGAGAGAGCATTTTTCTGTTCATGTCTGATTAGGTTAGTTGTATGACGGTGCTAGGTTAGTTGTATGATTGTGCTAGGTTAGTTATCCGATGGTGCTAGGTTAGTTTTCTGATGGTGCTAGGTTAGTTGTATGATTGTGCTAGGTTAGTTGTCTGATGGTGCTAGGTTAGTTGTATGATTGTGCTAGGTTAGTTGTCTGACGGTGCTAGGTTAGTTGTCTGATGGTGCTATGTTAGTTATCTGATGGTTCTAAGTTAGTAGTTGCTAGGTTAGTTTTCTGATGGTGCTAGGTTAGTTGTATAATTGTGCTATGTTAGTTATATGATTGTGCTAGGTTAGTTGTATGATTGTGCTAGGTTAGTTGTATGATTGTGCTAGGTTGGTTGTCTGATGGTGCTAGGTTAGTAGTTGCTAGGTTAGTTTTCTGATGGTGCTAGGCTAGTTGTCTGATTGTGCTAGGTTAGTTGTCTGATGATGCTATGTTAGTAGTTGCTAGGTTAGATGTCTGATGGTGCTATGTTAGTTGTCTGATTCTGCTAGTTTAGTTGGTTGATGGTGCTAGGTTAGTTGTTTGTAGTTGCAACTACATGATGAAAATTTGCAAGGTCACATTGCAAAACTTTGAAAGGCCATAACTTTGTGTTAAAAGCTCCGTTTTGGACGTTTCGTTTTTTTTTTTTTTATTTGGGGTAGCTCGACGAGATCTACGCAGCTGCAAACTGCCGAAGGCGGTTTGGCCACCCGAATTTTCAAAAAAATACCTTTTTTCTTGCTTTAATTTCATTTTAAGAAAAAAATACGTTTTTTGTAATTTTAAACCTCTATATCTCCCCAATCGAGACTCATTTTCTGAAGTTTTTTTTTTTTCATAACAATGCTCTCAACCTCTATTTTATGTACCATTTGAAAAAAA